GCTGGAGGTTTTCCCTTGAGCGAGGGCAGATCACGTACCAATCACGGCGCTCGCGTTTCAAACTGTCTGAAATGAAGCGCTACCTCTGTATATCTGATTTTGTCAGAAATCGGGAGAAATATGACCCCGGGAGGAAACCGGGAGAGGGCAATGAAATCAGGAGTCTCCCGCGAAAATCGGGAGGGTTGGCAAGTATGGTGACAAAACCATTGCATTGCCATTTGAATCTTGAATAATTCTCCGTGCACTCCATTTTGAGATCGTTTTTAACTAATAATAACCCTAATGCATAGTGGTGCGAGACATTAGCAATGTTGGCTAAAGCTGCCCCATGTAGTTTGTTGTGACAGTTGATCAATGTGGACTGTCCACGACACTATAAACAAATAAACTAAACATAATTGGTCATTTTCAAAAGTGTTGGAGTCCAGCGTCCGCAGTAAATGTCCGTTTCTCCCTCTGTGGCGGGTCGTTAGTGTCACCTCTTTGCCTTCAGCAGTCGGGGGTGTTCATCTGGTGTTTCGGGGTTTTGGACGCTGCCTTCAGCTTTTTAATCCGGGGATAAATTGACTGACAGAAGGAGAGGAAACAGCTGTGATGGCTGCTGTCGGCTCAGTGGCAGCCTTATGATGAATTGCCTCTCTTGAATGATAGCGCTGTTACTGAATGGTTCTGACGCAGGATTGTTCTGTCGGCACCTCGATGGCAACTGCAAATAAAAAAAAAAAGGGGGAAGAAATGAACCGCCATGCAACCCGCCTCCACACTCGCCTTTTTTATTTTTCATTAAAGTTGCCACCTCTCAAATAGATCTGCAGCGAAATGGAACCGCATGTTTGTGCAGAAAATTGCCTGAAATGTGTCGGAAGTTTTGAGAGACTGAAAGCTGCCTCTCGTTTGCTTTTACCAGAACTCCTCCTGTGTGTTTGACTTTATTGCGGAAATGATGTGTGATTGCATCATGATAAATATTCCTTTGATGCTCTACCATCATGCTGAATGTTACTGCTGCAGAATGTCATGTTGTTTTTCCTTTTATTTCATATTTATTCACCTTGTTTTTACATCTGTTTACAGCTCAGATGACTACTATGATTACGACGCCAGTGGGGAATCGTATGAATCTTATGGTGAGTTGCTTCTCTTCAGATATATCTCCTGTTAATTAATTGTCAGAACATCAATTTCTAGTCTCTACACAGCTGGTCTCATCTCACTTGTCGTAGCATCTGCTTCCTGTGTGATGTCTTAGACACATTTAAAAAAAAAAAAAGGACTTTCTAAGTATTTTATTAGAAGTTCAGTAGTGTTGACCCATATGCTATCTGGAGTAGGACATGGTATCAAAGGCCGACATTTAAAGCTAAACGCAGGCTTACTTACTGTTTTTTATCTGCAATTGTCACATCTAAA